AAAATTCTGCTCCACATGGCTTCACGGCTGAATTCTACCAAACTTTCAGAGACAGACTATTATTAATTTTACTTAAGTTATATTTTAAAAAAAATAGAAAAATAGAGAACACAATATTCCTAAAGTTATTCTGTGAATACCCTAATACCAAAATAAGGCAGCAATATTCCCAAAAACAGAACAAACAAAAAACAACAACTATAAAAACAAGCTATAGGAACATAGGTATAAAAATCCTTAATAAAATACTGGCCAACAGAATCCAATAGTACATTTAAAAAATAATTCATCATGACCAAGTGGGATTCATGCCAGGTGGAAAAGGTAGGAAAATTTATTTATTTTAAATATAAAAACATAACAAAGTAAAGAAACATATGATCCTATCAACTGAGGCAGAAAAGGTTTGAAAAAATCTAACACTCCTTTCTGATTAAAACATTCAACAAAACAGAAATTGAAGGGAATTTCCTCTAAATTGTAAAAAGTATAAATGCAATACTGAGAGCCAATATCGTACTCAAAGGAAAAAAGATTGAAGCCACTCCCTTGAGGACAGGACCAGACACTGTCCACTGTCACCACTACTATTTAATATTATATTGGATGATAGTACAAATGTTGTTGTTGTTAAGTGCTGTCTAGTCATAGATGACTCATAGTGACCCTATGAATGAAAGACCTGAACACTTGTATAACTTTCATTGTTTCTCCACTTTCACAGGGTTTCCAAAGGCAAGCTATTTTGGAAGTGGATGCCATTCCTGCTTCCAAGCTTATTTTAATTGGGGAGCTCCACCAAAGTCCACCATGGGTAACCATTATTGCATTTGACATATCAGTGTCTCAGTGTTTAGCCTCAAAACAACCATGAGTTACCTCTGCACAGCAAATGGACAGACCAGTGCTATACCACTTAGAAGAATGTTTGATCAAAAACAATTAAAACCAGGCCATAAGAGAAGGAAATAAGAGGCTTCCAAATTAGCTAAGAGGTGATAAAACTGTCACTACTGCAGATGATATATGTCAGAGAACCCCCAAAATGCAATGAAAAACCTGTTAGACCTAACAAACCAGTTTAATAGGATACATGATGAATATATAAAAATTAGTGCAATTTCCCTACAGCAACAAAGAAAATATAGGAAAGGAAACTAAGGAGGCAGTGCCATTTATATAAGTCAATCATAAGAAGAAATACTTGGGAATGAACCTAACTAAAGATACAAAAGACCTTTATAAGGAAAACTATAAAACATTACTATAAGAAGCAATAAGAGATCTAATTAAATGGGAATATATTGCTTGTTTATGGATAGGAAGACTCAGTATAGTGAAAATGACAATACTACCAAAAGTAATCTATATGTTCAACAAAATCCCCAAATAGATACTAAACTCATTTTCCAAAGATATAGGAAAGGCAATGCACAATTTTATTTGAAAAAGAAAAGAAAGATTTTCACTTGAATTTTATTGATTACATACAGGCATTCAACTGTGTGGATCATAACAAATTATGAGTAACATTACACATTGTCCTTATGTTGAACTTGTACATAGATACTAAAGCAGTCATTCAAGCAGAGTAGGATACTGAGTGGCTTAAAATAATAAAAAAGGTGTATCAAGATTATATCCTTTAATCAATCTGAATGCTGAACTACTTAATCAATCTGAACACAGAACAAATAATCTGAGAAGTTGGAGTATCTAAAAAAGAATGAAATAGGAAAATTCTTAATGAGAGACCATAAGCGATATACATTGTATGTTAATTTTGTATACAAACCAATACAAAATAAGGATAAAGTGGAGGGAAAGAAAAACAAAAGTGGAAAAAAAAGATTAATGGTGGAAACTCTTGAATAACCTGTGACATGCAAATGACACAAATTTGCTTGCTGGAAACAGACAACAAGAAGTACTTTCTGATGGAGATTAAAGCGACAGCTTTGAGTACACATTGCAGTTAAACATAAAGAAAATTTTAAAATTCTTCCAAATGGATCATCTTTATCATCAATGAAGAAAGACTCAGACTGTAAAAGATTTCGTTCTACTTAGGTCCATAATGCAAACCTATGGAAGCAGCAGTCAAAAAAGAAAACAACTAAATGCATTAGGCAAATTGCTTTCTAAAGACCTTTCTAGCTGTTAAAAAGCAAAGATATCATTTTGAGGACTAAGGTGCACCTGACCCAAACCTTGTAAGTTTCAGTTACCCCAAGTGCATGCTCTGGCAGCACAATCCCTAATCAGTTACACTCTCAACACAAAGCTTACATGTATCTGGAATTTCAAATCCATTAGCGAATTCAAGGGAGAAAAATGGGGCATCTCCTTTTGTTGTTGTATATCATTGAGTTGGAACTGAACCACAGCTGACCCTTTAGAGGGTTTTCAGAGCAGTTGATCACTTGGGAGGAAATTGTCCATCCTTTTCTTTGGACTAGCTGGTGAATTTTAACTTCCTACCTGCGGGATTGCAGTACATCTCCTTTTTAGGAAATGTTATTGTCGTTAAGTAACATTAAGACAATTACACCTCATAACAACCTTATGAGCGAAAGACCTGATCCTTACCCTATCTGGTGCAGTTCTCATCTTTGATAATGCTACAGCTCATTGTTAAAGTCTTGTGTCAATCCTTGTTGAGGGCTTTCCTCATCTGCTGAACCCTCACCTTTCCCGGCATGAAATATTTTTTCAGGGACCGATTCTCCTGATAACATGCCCCAGGTCTGATCTTCAGGCTTGAAAACCTATTGCAGAGTCACTATAAGTCAGAACTGACTCAAGGGCAGTGAGTTCTAATGGAGTTTCATAGGCATAGGACGAGTAGATAAGGAACACGGAAGACAAAACAAACAAACAAACAAAAAAACAACAAAAAAAAAAACCGCAAAAAAAAAAAAGAACACAACCAAACCATGTAAAAACAGAAAAAAACCCAAACAACCCAGATGCTTTGATCTACTGTGTTAACAAACAATGTTACATTCACTATGGACTTATAGAATGAACACATATGTTTTGGAGGAAGCACAGCCAAAATGCTGCCTAGAAGCAAGGGTAAGAATTTGTCTCATGTTGTGTGGCGATGCTATCAGGAGGGACCTAGAGTTCCTAGAGAAGGGCATCATGCTTGGAACACAAAATATCAGTAAAGAAGAGGTAGAACCTTTTCCCAGATGGATAGAAACAGTGCCTGCAACCATGGGCCCAACAATAACAATCTCTGTGAGAATGATACAGGACCAGGTAGTGTGAAACACTGAATGAACTGTTTTTTAACATTTTTATTTTAAACAACATAAAACAAAACAAAACCAAGAAACTATTTAGCCCAGGATACAAGTAGAGTTTCTGATTTACCAAGAGAAATAATATCTGGATGTGTATTTATTTACAAACGCTTATTCACTTGTACTTTGAAGCAAGTTTTGTTTTCTGATGTTTCCTCATCTATAGTTTTGAGATTTTCTTTGGGAAATTCTCTGCTAGTATCAGTCCTTGTTGGCATCATTCCCACATGTCCATCTTCCATAATTATTCACCTATCATTTTTTTCCCAGAAGTGATACAGGACAAATAACATGGAAGCAGTCTTTACTATCATACTGATCTAGAATAACGTTTGAAGACTAGTTTAAAAATTTTAAAGTTACTTATAAACTTATGATTTATGGACTGCCTCTTAGGTGCAAAGTAGGTCATTTAATAAAGAGAAGGAATAAAATGGATTGATTTTTTTTCAGTGAATAGCTAAAAGTATTATTTTACAAAATTGGTAGATCTTACAAATGCTGCATCCTGAAACTTTTAAGAAGTAATGGTATCTGTATTCACTGTTCCCAGTGAAAAAATAATGGAAGTTAATTGGCCCACAGATAGGATTTTTGAAATGTCTGCAAACAGCAGCAGACATTCCTTTTAGGGCTAACCTATTTGTTATAGATTTTTGAAATTTTCTTTCAGTCTAATCTCCTACAGGAATTGATTTCCTCCCCCCAATTTAGTTAACAGAACTCTATTAATTGCTTATCTATTTGGATTCTATGTTGAATGATAGTGCAAATTTAAATGTATTTCTTGTCCTAAAGGAACATATAAACACACAGCTTGAATAAGAATTAATATTACAAATAAATTTTAAAGATTTAGCAACTATTTAGATAATAACTTACATATATTGACTAAATGTGAGAATTAAAAATTGACGAGAAATTTGAAAACATTTTTATATTGCCACGTCTTTTCAAAACAGCAGGGACAAAAGCATACTTTATATTAATTTTAAAGTAAAATAAACATTCTGGGTTTTTGAGGTCCTGCAAGTTATAATTTGATTCTAAATCAACTCTTAGAAAAAATGAGATGGTTTATTTTTAGAATATAAAATTACATAACTGAATTTATAAAATAAACAATAATCTCAAGGCCTTATGATTAAACCAAAAGTACATTTTTCAACTGTCATTGATAGAAGGGCTGAATTCACAGCTTACTTTTCTGAGAAATAACATTAAATAGTTACCAATAAGTCTGTAAGTGATTGAAGTTGCACAATTTTGCCTTAGCCAGTATTCCATGATTTACATTGTTTCTAAAAGTGACAGCGTTGATCCATATCATTTGAAATTACTGATTGGAGAGAAACTGGCTGTTTGGTGAAGGCAATTCACACTGGTCATGCCAAAACCATTTCACTTAAATGATCCTGCTGACAAGTTGAACATAAAGCTGATTTCTAATGACCTTTCTATACGTTTTTTTTTCCCAGTTCTGCTTTCAACAGTTATGATTCATATTGACCTGCACTTTAGTGTTATAATAAAATGCTTTCCTGGTTTCTGGATTATGCCATTTACCATATAATTCTTAGTTGTAAGGAAAGGCTTTCCTGTTTTTTCGTTGTTGTTGTTGTTTTGTTTTTATGGTGTTTTCTTCCTCTGCCAAATGAAAGTTTTGTTAGTCAAAAGTGCTATACTTACTCTTTTGGAAACAGTGGAAGGCAAGTCCAGGCCAATAAATCTGTATTGTTGGTTGCGCAGTCAAATCCAAACAATTTTATAGTGAGCATGGATTCCCTTGGAAGTGACTTTATTTCAAGAGGAAAATGAATTCTGAAAATAAAAAAGTAATGTTATGATACTCATGATACTAGTTAAGAGGAATATAGACCGAATTTCCTTCTTTTTTAAATAACTGTTTAACTACAATGCCAATTTGTTTTAGTAGTAGAGATAAAAGACTAATAATAATCAGAACCACCTGGAAGTTGATGATTGAGCTTGAGTCTGTTGCAGCCTTAAATAATACTGAAGGTCCACTCATACTAGTCTAGCACTGAAATGTTTGTTTGCTATACAGAGGTAACTTGTGGTTGCTGTGATGCAGAACACTGTGACACTGATGTGTCCAATGTAATAATGGTTACCCAGGGTGGACAGTGTTTGGTGGAGCTTCTCAATTAAAGCAAGCTTGGAAGCAGGAGTGGCTTCCACTTCCGAAAGAACTTGCCTCTGAAAACTTACGAAAGTGGAGAAACAATGAAAGTTATACAAGTGTTCAGGTCTTTCTTTTTATTTAAATATTTTAATTTATTTTTCATTTCATCTACAGAGATTTTGGAATTCCATTCATTCATTGTTGCACCCTTCTCCCCGCCCACCCCCCCCCCCCCCCCCCCC